TGAAAATTACGCTATTCCTACTTTACCCTTATTAAATTTGGCTGATGCGAGGCTAAATAAATATTTAATTTTAATCCTTTCCTTTCATTCTTTTTTTTTAAAATAAATTTTCCTTTCATATTAAAGATGTGGATTTTATTCGAACACTTTCACTCAACAGATCTATTGTTAATTGTTGCTTGTTATTGGGCACAAAAACTAAGCAAGCGGATCAACATATTGGTGGAAAAGACGAGAGGTAATTAAGTTCTGTGTTACACTTTCTATGAGAATTGAAAATAGCAAGCTCGTTTTGGAATGAATAATGCTATCTTTCAGTTCTTGGTTCTCCAATAAAAGTCTGGCTAGCTCTTGAGAACAGTTTTGGCTACTAAAAATCATTAAGAAAAAAAAAAAATACAGAACTTTATCTTTTGGGACTTCAACATATCAAATGTCGTCTATTATTTATGCAAAAGCTAATGATTTAAAGGAAAAAAATTAAAAAGTTAGGGTATTATAAACAGCAGTAGAGAAAGGCATATTAAAAAACCATAACCCAACAACTAAAATAACTTTGTTCAACGTGTACATTTCACAGGGGGATTTAAAAAGTTAATTAAGCTAGAGATATTAACAATATACTACCTCCTCATCTTAACCTATGAAGTATTGATACTTTAAATTGCTTCATGCATCCGTATCAATATTGTGTCCAATACCGATACTCATCGATACTTCTTCGATACATGTCCATAGAGTATCAAAATATTATTTTTTAATTTTAAAATATTTTAATTATTAATACGTATATGATATTTCTAAATTATGAGTTGACACATTAAAACTAATATTTTGAGGCTATTTTTAAGAAATCAAATTTTAGTAAATATTGTGATATCGATATTTTTTATTTCTAATATATTTTTGTACTTTGTTTTTAAAGTCAAAGATTATATTATCCTTAAAATTTTTTTAGATACAATAAAAATATAAAAATATATTTTTTTAATTATAAAAATGTAGGAATATAATTTTTTGGCATATAAACCATAAGAATGGAACTATGAGCATAGACTAGGTAGTAGGAAATTAGGTAAAAATGGAGTAAAAGTATAATTAATGATTATGTTGTGATTGGTATTACTACAAATAATCATATATGTATGCTAATTTGAATATTTTCTAAATTAAAATTATATTTTTAATATTTTTTTTTGATTTTTTACATATATTTGCCTAAAAACATATTGTATCTTATATTTTTAAAAAAAAAAATATTGTATCTTGCTTAACCAAAATAAAAAAATTAAAAATTATTAATAAAGTAAAAAATTGCTTTGTCTATTTATAATCAATAGAATGATTTGCAAATTTTGTAAATCGATTTCTACAATTTGAAGAACCAATGGACAAATTATATAAATTCATTTGTAAATCAATGAGGTTGACTCATAAACATAAGAGATTGAATTATAAATATGAAATTTTTAATCTTTTTAAAGACTTGCTTTAAAATTTAAGAAGTGTAACTTGTAAATTGGTGAAGTTTAATTGGTAAATATTAAATTTTTTTAATATTATAAGCTATTGACTCGTAAATATAAGAAATTTCACTTGTAAATCTTAAATATTTACTTGTTAATCAATGATGTTTGACTTGTAATATTAATGTATTAGTACTTTATTAAAAATATTTTTTTAAAAAAGATATGTTTTGATTGATAAATGTCTATCAGTCATCTGTCAACGATCATTAGTGGTCGGTCAAACCAATCAACACTAGTAAAAGAGATGTAACTCCAAATGTATGAGAGTCATTTTACTTAGTAAATTAAATACAATAAAGTCTCATGAGATTTTAGAGTATTTTCAAGTTGATTAAGAAAATAGTATTTTCGCAAATTTATAGAACTTACTTGTAAATAAGTTTCCTATTTGAGTCCCATTTATTATTTTTCCATAAAGTCAAATTAATATATATATATATATATATATATATATATTATATATTCAATTTAACTGAAAAAAAATGAAGCATCCTCACTTAATGCACACACACGAGACATCTTCAAGAGGTTAAAGTTCGATTTGATATTGATCAAATAATGGTGTTTCGACCGGATAAGTTTGCCTCCGATTGAGTAGAAATTTCGTTTTGTTAACATAATTTTTTTTTTTAACATGAAGTTTGCCTTCGGTTGGGTAGAGATAGGCTCAATTCTCAGGTTGATTGAGAAATTCAACCTTCCGTTCTAGTGGTAACCCAAACATCTCGAGAAACACATCAACAAATTCATTGACCACGTCAATGTTATCAATCCCCATATTTGGCTCAAATTGCACAGAAAAGAACACGGCATAGGCCTACACCCATGTTTGACACGTTTCTCAACTTAAGTCATAGTCAACAGTTGTGGTGACTTAACAGTTGGGTTGGAAGCAACATATACAAGCAAAGACATTGTTTTCTAAGTACTGTCAAGAGTAGCCCCATTTGTCAATAACCAATCCATACTCACTGTTATATCTATTTCATTCACAGGCAAATAAACTAAGAATGCATTTGGATAGGTGAATTTAAGCTGAAAATTTGGATTTAAGATCTCATATTTAAAATCTCACATTTAAAATTCATAGATTTTAAGTTCTTCATTTGGATTATATAAAAATTTCAAATTACAGTATTAAAATTTTTTGTTTAGATCTAAAGTAAAATTTTAAATTTTAAATTTTATATTTGAATTTAAAAAGAACTTGGAAGACTAGTTAAAGTTGAGGATCCGAATGGCCAACTTCCATTGGAATTAGACAATCAAAATTGACTGGGATTGTAGCACAAGTGACGACCAGGATTGGATGACCGACTTCTGTAACATTTTAATTTAAATTTTAATAGTTAATTTGGGTTAATAGAAATTTTGAAAAATATTTAGAGGTAAGCAAATTAGTAAAAATATTATTAAATCTAATTTATGATATAATTCTAAATTAAATTTTTTTAAAAAATTATTAATTAATTAATTAAAAAATATTATTAAATTATTATTATTATTATAAAAAAAGAGAAAAGGTATGAATAAAAAAAAAAGGGAAGAAGAAGAAGAAGAACGAAATTGCTTTCGGCGCCGCATGCAATGATTACACATATAAAATAATAAAAAAATAAAGAAGAGAGAGGAAAGGGAAAAATAATAAAAAAAAAATTGTGGGACCCACATTCGATTTTTAAAAGCCACCGTTCTCTTTTCATTTTCCTTCATTTCCTTCCTCTTTCGTGTGCGATCAGAGAGAGCGTCTATGAGCGTGAGTCGCCGGGCGAAAGATCTGAATTTTTAAGGTAAGAGTTTTTAATAGGATATTTAGGGTGTGATTTTAAGCTTTTCAAGACTAAATAAGTGTTCTAAAAAATTTTCTTAGTCATCCTTTCTCTTTGATTTCTGATTTTGTGGTGGTAAAAAATTAGGATCTGAAAGAGGGATGAATTTATGTAATAAATATAATTTATGAGGTTGTTAGCAGTATAATAAATGTTCTAGAGTATAAATTTGTTGATGATCTTTGAATTTGTGGCTTATGGATCAATTCTAAACTAGATATGAAAATATATGTTAATTTATTGAGGTTTAGATGATTATTTGGGATGAGAATGAATTATTATGGCTATAAGATTATGATTCTAAGCTAGAGACTCAATTTTTAATTTTTGGATATTTTAGGTGCGAATTTATAAAATAAAAAAAATTTTGTTAATAGAAATTAGTTTAGAAGTTGATTTTTAGATTATTAATGTATATTGATGACTAAAAGAGGAGTTAAAATTTTACTTAATAGTATTGACTCTAGATTTGTATTAAGATTGAGATTAGAAATTATATTATATTTTTAATTCTATTATTAGAATTATTTTATTAGTTTCAAAAAATTAAAACTATTTATAAATAATATGTTATTTGTAGATTGTATTATTGGTGAAGATTGTGGTGGGAGAGAAATTGTAAAGAATAATTTATTAAAAAAGCTACGAGGTAACCATGCTTTTTATTTGTGATTAGTGTTACTTCATGTTAATTGGGTGATTATTGAAAAAATTATGAATTTTGTAATATTGTATAATTGTGCAATATTATTATGAATTTGTTTGATTATTGTGGGAGGTGTTGGGAGACTTGCTATTGTTGTTGTATTTATGTGCCACGTGGTACGCCCCTATTGGAGCTCAATAGGTGGCTTGTAAGGGCTCGGGCTAATCTACCTTTGGCCGGGGTAATTTAGCATCGAGTGAGGGCTACGGCTCGAGGTAATGGAGGGATATAAGGATGGTTATTTGTGTGTATTATAATATTTCTTATATTTTGTTGGAATTATATTATTTTTAATTCTCACTTAGTAAGCACACACTTAACTGTTTGTATACACTACCATAAATTGGCTTTGATTACTGAGACTTTTGAGTCTCATTATGTGGTTAACAATTTTCAAGAGAAGAGCCACGAGTGACACGTGGAGGAGTCCCAGAGGCTTAGTGGCATAGATCCACTGTCTCTTTTAGGTATTTGATTTATGATTTATAATGTGTTATATTGTCAATATTAGGGCTTTTTATTTATTGACAATTATATGAATATAAAATGTAATCATGCCTTTTAAACTATTTCTATTTTTGGTACAATTTGGATCACTGTATTTTAATATTTGGTTTACTTTGGATTGGTTAAAATGGCATGATTATGAGGCTAAATAACTGGCTTGTGTTGAAAATTGACTAAATTGTTTATTTTTCTTGTTGGGAGTATAAGGATAGACAAATATGATTTAGTTTACTTGTTGGGAGTATAAGGATGGACAAATGTGATTTAGCCTAATGGCATGTGGGAGGTAAAATTTATCTCAAATATTATATTGTGTGAGTTGAAGCCAATTATAAAATATTTTATATTAAAATTATTAATATAAAAATGTGTTGGGTGGCTATAACCCAACTATGGTTGAGTTAAATTATTTAAAAAAAAATTGGTGTGTTACAACTTCCATCGAGACCGGATCAACGATGATGACTAATGTCGAATAGTCAACTTCCACTAGAACTAGACAGACGGCAAGGACGGGCACCAGATGACCAATTTCATAAGGAATGGACTGATGGTGAACATCAGACCGGATCGTTGACTTACATTGGGACTGAACCGATAACAACCATTAGATCAGACAACTAACTTATACAGGAATCAAACTAATGATGATGATCAAGACCAGATGGCTAATTTCAATAGGGATTGGATTAACAGTGGCCATTGGAATGGATGATCAACTTACACCAGGACCGGACCAACAATGATGATCGGGACCAGACGGCTGACTTCCACTAGGTCTTGTCTTAATTGAAGTCACTCATCCTGTCCTAATGCAAGTCGGTTGTACTATCTCAATTGTCGTCGTGGGTTTGGTCTCGATGGTCACCGTCGGTCCAATTTTAATGATCACCATTGGTATAGTCCTGTGGAAGTTAACCGTCCATCCGGCCCCTATCATCACTATCGGTCTGGTCTTGATGGAAGTTGGCTATCCAATACTAGTCATCACTGTTGGTTCAGGTGGAAGTCTGCTGTCTCATCCTGGTAAAAGCCAGTTGTCCAATCTCAGTCAATGGTGGTAGCTTATTTCCGTCAACTTCAACAGTCCAGTCTAATTATCGTTGGCAGGTCGATTAGCCTTTATGGATTTGAGTGAAATTATAAAAGAGATTGAGTTATGATTTGAAATAATAAAGGTTTGGAAATGATTTTAAATTATAAAGAGATTGAGGTAGAACTTGGATTTAGATTTAGCTCAAATTTAAATCCAAATCCATGTGTATCCAAACATAGCATAAGTTTATTGTAGTGATATAACTACTAAATTTCAACTCTATATTCAAACAAGCACGACTAGTATGTATAGTGGCACTAGCCAAGGTAAACATTGTCATCACGTATGGCAGTACGTACATACATATTTAGCTTTTTTGCCCAATCATTCGACATGAACGACTGCATGGCTCTATAGTCAAACAATGCATCTATATAGTAACCATAGAGAGAAATAATACCTCTAATAAACTTAGAGATGTCTTAGCCTCTTCCTTAGACCTTGTAGACACTCAATCAGGAAACATCGACTTCTACTCTAAGGTGCTCTACTTCTCAATTCAATACCTAGTAATGTGATCTACCTAGTTGCATCTGAAGTAGGTCCAACGTTCATCTTTGTAGTTTTTTCCATATTTGTCACATTGTGGGGCCTTGGTTGGTCCAGTCACATAGGTAGGAGGTAGATGACCTTGCTATGACATCCTACTACTCTTGAGGGCATTACTCCTTGGCATGATCCCTTGGACTGAGATCTCCTTTACATTTTTTTCTTCCAGTCACTACACATGTCAAACTTGCTGGAACGACTAGAGTTAAATCCCAACTTCCTACTAACACTCATAATGGCGCCCATAAATGAAGAGAATCATCCTTGACTATTTCTTCTACTCTATCTCTCGATTTTGCTTGGCTGTAATCCTTAATTTATTATACATCACCTTAAATGATGTGATCTTTGAGGTCACTAACTGCTAGCGGTAGTTGGATCTTCTCTTTAACAGCTACACAGCCTTCCACTCATCATCGTTGTACATCCTTACACTACTATAAAAAAGGGAATAAATGACGGTTATTTTTACTTAAATATGACGGGCACAAACCATCATATATAAGTTTGTCATTTATTCCCACCCCCTTTAAATGACGGGTATTTAACTATCATTTATATTATACAATATATCACAGTTATTAACCCTATTGTATAAACAAACCCCATTTGAATTGGACATGACAATATATGATAGTTATTTTAAATAACTGTCATATATTGAAGACCAAATATGAAGGTTATCATAAATAACCGTCATATTTGCTTCTAATTTTTTTTTTTATAAATAAGGGGCTACTTTAATGAACATTGTTATAGCATATAAAAATCATTTTCATAACCATTATTTTCAACATATCCAGACAATAGTACAATTAAATTAGGATAGAAATTAATAACAAAATTTTATAAATATAATTTACTTTAAATTATCATTTCTCTCAACTTAAAATCCATAAAAGATAGAGCTACTACATTATAACAAAGAGAAATTGGCGCCGAGAGAACTAATGATAGTGCGAGCTATAAAATTGGGAGCATATTATGAAACTATAAAACTTTAACCATCATCAGTGAACGCCATCACCATAAGACAATTAAAAGCTAAAATGATTTCAAAAAGTTCAAATAAGCCCGAGGATGATTTTGTTTGCTTCTCATACTGTTACACTCAGCCACAAAGTAGAATATCGATATTGAATGGTGATAGGATTTGGAACTCACCTTGCTGAAGCAGAGATGCGATAGCAATAGGTAATGAGTGGTCTTGGAACCTATCCTCACAAAAACATAAGTAGTTGCTTTCCAGTCGACTTCTTGCTCTTCATACTTCTCGAGTTCGTCCATTGTCCATGATGTTATGCCAATCTCTATTGTTACCACGAGCTCTATTCATCTATAGATTTGCTTATAACTATGCTAGATCTGTCCAACCAAATCTCAATTACATGTGTCACGCCCTAAAAATAGAGAGTGACCGGCACGGGTATGAACCTCTCACACATTCCCGTAAGCCTCAAAATGAATATTTATTCCATTTTACAAAGAGAAGAACAAAATTTGATCAAGTCACAAGAGAATTAAATAACTCCTTTAAACTCATTATCATAAGAAAGTGTCGACTTTTTTTTTTTGGTAGAAATTTCGGCAGAACCTCCCCTGTAACTAGAATCTCCCCGAAAATTCTACAACAAAAATTTTACAGATAATAGTATAAATCAGGAGCGTAGCTCCTTCCAGCCAGCAACCAATATACAGACCAAAAATAAAGTTTATCAGTAACCTATGTGGAGCATCTACTCTTTCTTTCAAATCAAAAGACATACAATTTCTATATTACATTAAAGCAACAATACCAATCAAAAAGGTTCACCCACTGTAGCTAGTTGCCCTTTAGAGGTTGATGGTAGGATCAGCATCAGCTAACAAATCTGAGACCAAAATAATTTTTCCAGTGAATAGCATTCCTATGAAAAAGTTCTTAAAATTTTAATCAATAATCTCTAATAATGGTGTCAGCTAGTTAAAAGCAATTCCAACAAATTTATAAACATGTAAGTCATAACCATATTATAAATAAGAGTAAATTGAAAACAATTTATGTTATCGTGCTTAAACAAAACAACCTGCTCTCATATAACTCAAAGTGATACAATTACTAGTCAAAATCAAGTAAATTTCGAAAATACATATTAATCAACATTTAAAATTTTGAGAACTCAATAGAACAGGTTACAAACGTGAACACACAGTTCACGAGGGTAAATAACCAAACGCGGCTTATGCCACGAAAACAAACGCGGACACATCAGTCCACGAGGGTAAGTAACCAAACGCAGCCGACGCTACGAAACAAACGTTGACACACAGCCCACGAGGGTAAGTAATCAAACGCGGCTCAGGCCACGAAATCAAACGCAGGTACAAAGCCCACGAATACCAAACGTGAAATAAAACTCACGAAACAAACTAGCTAGTGTTTAACCACAGCGCGCTACGGGCTAACGGAACTGCCGTTAGCAGCAGTTTCTGTTTCGAGTTCTCTTAGAAATCCCGTTTCAAACATGCGAGAGAAATAATCATTTTTGAGTTCAAACTTTCATTCTCAAGATCAAACTCGCATGAATTACTTCAAATATATGAAACTTGCCAAATCGATACATCATAACGAATGTACAAACTTGTACTAATCATGTAACCAAAAAATTTTTGAAATTCAATAAGCAAAAGTGTTTTTCATCAATATATTAAAAATATATATTTCTTGAGAAATGCACAAATCATAATGTAACTATCCTTCATCATTGTTTCAAAATTTCTAAAACTAACATAATTAATAAAAATGAAATATTTCAATAAAAAAAATTTTTAATAAATAATTATAAGGAATGCTATTCACTTACTCGTCGGAGTTCCAAATTCCCAAAGATATTCTTCCTTTAATTCTTTTTCAAGGTCCTGTTCTTCCACACACCCTATAAGGATATAAATAAATATCCTTTCAATAACTTTTTTTTTATTACATAATCTCAACCAACCACCATCATTTAAATTTCCAAAATGAAAATTCATGCTTTAGAATTGATCAAAGTATTATTATCCATATCACTAGTCTCCTCTAAATTATTTTAACCATGCCAATCTATTTCTTTGAGACACAATTTTCTCTCAAGCTTTGCACCAAATGCCTTAGGTGCTTTACTCTACTTCTAGTTATCAATTTAAACATCCAACAATTTACTAATAACCTTACAATTTCCAAGAATTTAAATGGCTCCATACAAATTCATATTTAAATTCTTTTACAATCTATAAGTCAATTTGTAGATCCAAAATTTTTTCATACTAGCATATTTCTCACAAAGACTAATTAAATTTCAAAAATGCAAATCCAAGCCAACTCTCTTCCTGGACATTTTATCAAACACTATATGAGCACAAGTTATCAAGCTAATATTAACATTTTCTTTCAAAATTTCAGCTTCCTTAAACCTTACAATATCACTAATTCAAACATTTTTAATTAAATTCAATTACATACTATCAGCTCCTTCCTTATATAAACACTAATTTCAATTTAAAATCAAGCTTCCTCTTCTTATATAGCCATATATGGTCACGGACAGCAGCAGGGCTTAAGAAAAATAAAATTGCAACATCAACTCTATCCCTTCACCATCTCACATGCACAGAATTTTCTAAGGAGGAGAGATCAAAGATTCTCACCTTGAATAAACTAACAACACGCAAACCAAGAGGGGGAAGAGAATGTTCGTCTGCACAGTGAAAGAGAGGAAGATCGCTGTTGGCATAGAGAAGAGATGAGCAAACCAGTGATTGACTGAGCAAGCAAAACAAAAGAAGTAAGTTCTCCTATTCACCTGCACAGCCACGCCAATGATGAAAAAAGGAAAAAAAAATCGATCTGGAACAGAGGAGGAGGAAGACGTCACATTTTTGTTGATCAAGGACGGATGAGACAACAGCAACGGCAAGCACACCGGCGAGCTCATAACCACAAGCTACAGACTGAAAAACACGATAAGGAAGCTCGAGTTACTTGCACAGTTTTACAGACGATAAGATAAGGGAGGATGACATAAAACAGAGGAGAGCACTACCAGCCCATTTATCCTTTCCCACGGTGAAGACTCCGGCGTTTATGGAGTCACCGGTGACCAGTAGAGTGACAGAGCTGATGGCGGAGGATAGAAGTCCGGATGAGGGTTCGAATATTCTAGAAAATCCTCAAGCTCTCTCTCCACCGATCAGCACACACGGATCTGATAAAGAGAAAGAAAGAAGAGGAATATATCAGATTTGAAGAAGGGCATTTTGGTAATTTCACAGAATCAAAAATTGCAAAAGTAATTCTCCTTTTGGCCTCTATCAGTTCGAACTTGTGACCAAATGAGTGCATTACATGCACACTTCCACTACACCAACTTTACTTCTTGTCAAAATTATCCCAAAATTAATATAACTACAATTATAATACAATACTATATATTAACTTTTTTTTTATAATTTTTACTTAAATTCTTGAGTTATTACAACATGAATCCACCACTATTCTGAACTAGATCTGTCCACCGTTCATCCGCCCTACCCGCGACTCCACCTTACATTGTGCTGTTCTTCATCGTAGGTCTTAACTTGGGTTGCTTGTCATGTGTCTTACCTAGAGCTCAATTGATGTGTGTTGAGCGTCGGCTTTCTTAAGCTTTAGAGAGTTCCCTTGCAATTGGCCTACTGATGATGACTCAAACGGCGGCAATGAAGGCGTAGAGGTTGAAGTTCAAGAGTTAGGAGCTAAAGAGGCCTCGAAATCTATAAATGAGATGCTAGGGCACCAAATTTCCTTAAATGACGGGTGTTGGCAATTCCTCGTCATATATCTAACTATTATTATATGTTTTTATTTTTAAAATATTTTAAAATTGCATCATATTACAGATATTTAACATATATATCAAAAGATATATATGAGGGTGTTTCAAACATCCGTCATATATATTATTATATTTTATTTTTTAAAAAATATTAGAATTTAAAGCATTATATGATGGGTTGTTAAACGACTGTCATCTATGATAATAGATATATATGATGGGTATTTTAAATACCCATCATATATTTATTAACTATCACCTGTTTTGTTATTATATGATGAATTTTTTTTATAACCATCATATTTTGGGGTATCTTATATTTAAAATTCTGTAGTAGTGTTATATAGTTAGAGTACTTTGACAACTAATTCAATTTAGCAATAAATTCTTCTTCATTCATATAACCTTATTTCAACTATGGAACTCAACCTCTCTCTCTGTTGTGAATGCAAATGAGAGTAGTTGGCGAAAAACATCTTTTTAAATTCCTTCGTCCCTGTATAGACTTATCGATTAGCTTCATGCTCTCCCACCACTACTTTGTTGAATGCTCTAACATAAAAGTGGCTAAGAGAACCCTCTACTCCACTACGCAAGACATGACTGAGAATATTGTCTTCAACTAGTTAATCCACCTCTTAGATCTATAGAATGAAGGTAGGTTTAGTCTTGTCAATCTCTTCATGCCAAGTTAATGTAACCCTTATTACCACTACTACTAGGCCATTGGGTTGGCATAGGTCTCTTAGGCACAATCTATTCATAATTATCCTCACCCTTTGCATGCATTTCCTCATCTCACATTGATCTTCATGGTCATTACCAAGACCACGATTCCCAACGCTTTTGCTACTCTCTTCCTGTCTTTCTTGAAACATGATATGATGCTGATCAAATTTCTTCTTAATCCCTAACATTAACATTTTCAACTCTTCTAAAAGCTTGTCATTGTAAGGAGGAGGTGGAGGCTACTTTGGTGGTGGTACACGTTGTTCTAGTATTTGTTATCCTGGTTGTGGAATGTTCTCCGGGATATTACTGGTAGTAGTAGTTTTATCGACACCCACCATTCTCTCCTTATAAGGACAAAAACCATCACATAAAGAAAACAAGTCAATCACTAGCTCAATAAAGGAAATAATATGCATAATAATGATAACTGCTAACTTCATAAATGCAGTGCACAATCACAATCACAACATAATCAAAGCACAAGACCAGATCTAGAAACTTGAGAATTTGATACCAAGTCATAATATCATCTAATATACTCCAAAAAAATCTTAACTATAATACCATATATTACCATGGTAATTAGGGATTAACTACTCTAGTCACCTTACCATGCCAAAAAAGAATTAATTGTAGTTAAAAGAGCTAATCATAGTAAAAAAGGGAAAGACCTAGGTTGAAGGTCTACTATGAGCAATAGAATTAAACTTATAATTTGTAACACAAAATAGATAAGTATAAATAGACTTTACTATAGTAAAATAGACTCCACCATTGTAAAAAAGATTAAAACCATTCAAGAACTACTGTTATATTATGAAAGATTAAAACCCAAAATAATAATGTATAATTATACTAACCATTGGGTTCCCAAGTTAACAAGCATTTCAAACATATCAAGGTCCAACCATACTCAAATCAGAGTTTCAAAAACATTTGGAAGCATGGGCTGCCTTTCGGTTTGAAAGCAACAATGAAAAGGGGTCAAAAATGCCATTTCACCAAAATATTGGAGCTTTCGCCATAACTAGCACGATCTCTTCAGCCATGCGCTCATTGGTTAAAACAATAGTATTTATTTGTACATGATATGCTTTTGGGATAATAAATAAATTAAAATTTTAATTTAAAGACTAAATTTTGTCAATATAGTAAACATTTTTTTGGTAAATAAGTGGTGGCACATGTCAACTCACATGGTGATATCATAGATCATGATAGAATGATCTGTTTATTGTGAGGCCTGCTCGCTGATAGTTTTATTTAATAATTAATGTATTTAAATGGTTAGTTAGGATTATTATATTTTTTTAAATCCACTACTTAAATATTCTCTAATTATGGATTTTCAAGTGACACTTCAGCGTAGAAGCTGGCTCCCTTTTCATCTCCATTATTTTTTCAATTAGCCATTGCATGATCCACAAAAGAACAAAAAATCAAGGAAAAGAAAGGTTGATATCGTTTGCATTTTTCTTTTTTAATGGATCCAAAGTCAGAACAACTCAGCAAGATAACAAACCAATGATAAAATAATTTTAATGAGGAACGGTTTGAGTCCCTTAAGCATCACTTTAGGGTTCAATTCTCAAAGTGTATGTAGAAAAATATTATTTGAAAGAGGACAACTCCTTATATTTCATTTGTTTGTTTTTTCTGCTTGCATATTAAGCTTATATGTGCTTTTGGTTCTTTCAGTAAATATTTTGTTTTGATGCCATCTGATTAACCATCGTTGGTTATGTAGAGTTTATACTGTTATATTTTTTTTATTGATTCTCCAATCATACAATGTAGTTTATTTAATTTGCCAAAGCGTCTCTCTCTCTCTCTCTCTCTCTCTCTCTCTCTCTCTCTCTCTCTCTCTCTCTCTCCTTTTGTTTTTTTGGGAATTAGAGAGGCAGGCACTATGAGATTACAAGCGGGATCAAACTAGCAACCTCTCACTTACAGTAGAGCTTATAATGCCACTAAGCTACATGGCCATTGGCAAAGCTTCTTTCAAAGACAACGGCTGCAACTTTACTGCCAAATTTTCAGTGCAGAAGAAATCTGAATGACCTAACCACATATCATAAGGACTCACCCACACTGATATTTAATCAAGCATTAGCCCACCTTTTAGTTTTTCATTGAAACGAAGAAAATGACCCAAATAGACGCTTCCCCTTATCCTTTCCACCACCAAACGGGATATCCTTGAAACTGCTGCACATCCCCAAGATTGCCTGCAGCACGTTGACTATGAGAAATACCCTATTTATCATATCCCTTTGAGTTCGCGTTCATAGCAGATCTGCGAAACAGATTTTTTGGCCCAAATTCCGTAATCTCATTTCCTCTGTCCGCTGAATCCTTCGCCGTGGTGTCAGCTTCCCTGTTCTAAGCAACGAGTTGTTTGTCTTTTACTATAGTGGAAGGGCCTGCGAACCCAGCAACGTAACATGCATGCGTCTCATTATTGATACACAAATAAAGGCATTCTGTGTGAATTCATTCTTCAAAACATTTATATATTTTAATCAAAAGAAAGGAAAATCGTGGTATGAAATGCTGTGATGATCACAAAACGCACTAAACACCCTCACTTATTATTGTGCAGAGCAGAAATCAAAGGCTTCGACTTTTACTTGCGGGGAACGTGAATAGCAGGGATATAGTGGGAGAATTTTTTTGTTAAGAAAATCCTGTATGGGATGTTTCCAAAAATAAACTTTTGACACTATTTTTAAACACACACACACAGATATATATATATATATATATATATATAAAATAAATTTATGATTTTTTTGAATATGTTAAAAATAAAATACGTGTTTTTCTATAAAATTTGAAATTGGAATAAGCTGTTTTTTCTTTTGTTTATCTTCACTAAAATTGAAAAAAAAAAACTAGCGTAGATGCTTCCATGTGATATATGTTATCTATAATGTTTTAAGAATATTTTACTACTTATTATGTCATTATTGAGAGATATCATCTACCATTACTGAAAGATATTATTTGACATGCTGTTATTGTAAATAATCATTATTAAATTATCCATTCGTTCCTATATATATATATATATTGTACTCTTCACAATAATAATAGACATGGCATTTTTTAATTTTATCTTGTCTTTCTCATCTTTGATAGCTTTAAATATAATTTCATCAACGTTTTGTAGATTGCCAAAAAAAAAAAAAACTTATAGATGAAGAATAGGAGAATGATGTCACATTTCAATTTAAAATATCAAAACTCAAATGTATAGATCTTTATATTTTATTTTATATTAATTATTAAAATCAACATTATTCAATGTGAGATGCTTCAATTTAAATTCAATTATTCCTGGACATCCGTAATTCTTCATGACGGTCAGACGAAAAGTTGTAATACAAATGTTGGATATATATATGTATATATGGTTTCCATACATAAGCATCGATCTCGTAAGATAAGAAGAGGCATTTGATTATGTATAATCATTTCATTCAACCACAAGATATAATTGTAGGATCCTTGAAACTTCCGACTTTGTCATGTTGCAATAATTGTCATTCTTGTTTTCCTATGGATGCATCATGCATGTCGCATTGCAATTTTTTTTTTGGTTCTTTTTTGAGGACAAGTGGTGGTACCGTAATTGGGAGTAGCTGAAATTAAAGCAGCTTTAAATTTTTTTAGTACAATTAAAGAAGCTTTAATTTTTTTAATACAATTAAAGAAGCTTGTAAAAACGACTGCCAGCCGTCGTTTTGATCGTGTTTTTGGTGCCA